ATATACACTTGATTGCAGAAAGGTTGTAGTAAAAGCATTGTTTTGAATACTTTAGTTGGGAACAAATACAACATTGCAAATCAGTCTTTAGAAACTAACTCAAAGGCTTGGAATAAGTTTAAAATTTTGCTTGTAAAGAAAACAAAATATGAATTTTTCCAGCTTGCGTATTGAATTAATTTTTTGAAGTGTTATCTTCCTCCAACGACGCTAACAAGGAACGCGGAAGGACACGAGTGAAAAACGTCTGCGCATGCTCTGAATCCGTATGCAAATTAGTCAAAACATAACGAAATTTGACTTTCAAACAAGCCTGATAAATTGGACTTCACAAAATGACAAAACATAGTGTCCATACTTGAAACTCAAGGCTAATCCTTTCATATTGTGTTTGTTAATACAGTATCTTGGTCTGACAAAAGTATACTCTCGAACCTTTTTCGTATACTTGGGGGAAAAAAATAATTTTCTCACTCAAACTCTTCAAAATTCTTAGAAAACGTGCTGAAGTGCACGCATGCGCAAACGATTTCCTCTAGTGTCATGCGGAAGTAGAAACAAAACCTTTTTTGAATTAAAGGTCGCAAACTTTTAATCAGAGTTAAATCAATATCTATAAATTTTATGCAAAAATTTTATTTGCCTTTCAATATCGCCGAGGTTAGAAACGTGTCTTAATATCACTTGACCGTTTCTGTCTATAAGTGCACAAAAAATATAACTAGTAAGSCAAGAAGACATTAGCCTACGTCACATCCGGAATTTCTTCGTAGATACGGACTAGGAAAGAAAAGGTCGTGTGGAAGCAACACAGGCTACAAGACATCAGCGCGTCGAAAAATCACGGTAGATCGAAKGGATTTGTTTCACTAAAAACGCTTAATCGGTAAGTTAATAGCGCAGTGGTCTTCCGTAATTCTGAAATGCAAAAATACGATAAAATTGTAGTTCCGAAGCATACTAGCTAATGTCTCAGCATGGGTCTGAAGCGACGCTTTACGTTTGAAAGACGGCGATTCTCCGCAGAAAAAATACTTCGTATATTTACATATGATTTTTTCCCTTTCCTCTAGTTCAAACGGTATTAGAAACAACTGCTTAAAACTTAAAACTTAACTGCTGTTAAAAAGAGAGTTTTTATACCGCTTTTTTCGACCTGCTTTGGTTTGGAAAATCCAGTGTTTACCAGTAAACTTTGGTTCTTGAAAGATTGAAATAATAGTCAGTCAAAATCATGCGACTTCATTTTGGTTGTTCGTGGGGCTGTTATGTTAGACTATCCTTTTTAAACCGTACACAATCTCATGACACGAAGCAAATACGCTGTTTCTGTAGTAACTGCAGTGTAGCTTGAGCAATGAATTGCAATCAGTGWTGATAAAAGGAGTTGACACCGTTATTATTATTATTTATTTTGCAGTAAAATCCTCAAACTGCAATTTCTTTTTTCCTTTTCAAATGAATACTGGAATAACGAAATATAGTTTTTTTTTTATTGCCACAGTGAAAAATCAAGCAAAAAGTCTTTCTTATTTTCCCTTTTGTTATAACTATGATTCATAGTGAAATATAGAAAAGTAAACGGGGTTAGTAATTAACTGGCAATTGGCCAAAAACCAGTAGTTAACTGACAAATAACCTAAAATTATCATTCAACAGTTAACCGATATTTTATTATTTTGGTTAATATCATGACTAGCGCTCGCAAAAGTATTACAGTTAACTGACATTCGGCCAAAACATTAGTAGTTAACTGACAATTGGGTACCAACATTGGCACCTTCATAAAGCCATGAAATAGATTTTAGACCAATACACGCTAGCAGACGACCGTACGAAATTCTTTTTTTTTTTCTTTTTTTCTTTTTTAAATTCTTTTCTTTGTTCTTTTCTTTCTTTCTATTCCCACGTTGACTAGCACTTTTTATTTCTTGGATAAAATGCCTTCTCTGACGCGCATACAAAATTGACTGTTTTTTGTTTGTTTTTTCCCCTACCAGTTTGAATCTTTATTCAACAGAAAACCATTTGGTTGGAAAAATAATAATAAAAAATAAAAAAATCAGTAATATGCCCCAAGAGGTTAAATTTGACTTTTAAAAATAAGTTGGTTTTGGCTTCGTCTGACCTATCAAGCTCATTGATTATCTTCTGTTGATTTGGTTTCCATGACAGCATAGCACAACAGTATTGGATGTCTTACTTCCTGGTTCAAAGATGTTTTCTTACAGCTCTGCGCTATCTATAGTTTTTCATGAGAGATTATTTTTTGAATTCGTTTACTTATCAATTATCATTTTTCGATTCTTTCTCAAAATTTAGAATTTTTGTCTTGTCAACTGACATAAGCGAAACGAGTAAATTCTATTATTTGCGCAATAAAAAAAACATTTCGGCAATGAAAGTTGACCTTTATTTCGTTAAAGGTGTCGGCATTCAAATGGTTTTCATAACAACAAAATGGCCGTTTAGGAGAAGACAAAATAAGACTCGAATGGTTTATTTATCTTTTAAGTGGCATCATACCTGCATGCCACCCAAATGGTTTCCATAACAATCAAATGGCTTACTTTGATAATTTTTAAGTGATACCGGCATGCCGCCCAAATGGTTTCCATAACACGTAAATGGTTTTCATGACACTCAAATGATTTACTTAACTAGCAGGGACTTTCAAGTGGCATACCGGCCGACATGCCACCCAAATGGTTTCTATGGAACTCAAAAAGCTGCTATTCTGCCCAGATTGCTTTTATAACACTCAGATGGTTTCCACGTCCTTCGCCACAAATGACGATATCGAAGCTACTTGACAACTTATAACTATAGAAGCCCCGTTTACACTGGCGATTTTTGCGGCGATTTTTGCTGCGATGTTTGTGGCAATTTTTGGAAATATGAAATCTTTTGTCTCATCCTTCAAAAGAGACATTCGTCTAGGAAAATCTTGGTATCTTTACAAGTAAATTCTTTGCCATTGCTTATTATGGACAAAATCGCAAAAAAAAATCGCAGCAAAAATCGCCGCAAAAATCGCTAGCGTAAACGCGGCTTAAGAAATCCGCTTTTCGTATCTTGTTTTCAGGCAAAAGTTCTAAAAATGCCCGCTCTGAACATCAGTCCCGACATTGCTTACTTGAAGACCCCGCAAGCAATACTGAAGATCGTTCAAATTGTAAGTGCGTGAAAAAGACTTTTCTTTCGTCCCTACCTCCCCAGCCCCCTCCCCCAGGGACTTTGACTCGTAACCAATCTTCCTCGACCAATCGACACGGACAGACAGACGGACAGTGATCAAGGGAAATACAGGGACTTAGCTCGCAGTCTATTTAAAAGTTGACTTATCTAAAAACGGACAAAAACAAAATAAACAACAAAACATGAAAAAAAAACATGCAAAAACAACAACAACAAGACAATAGAAAACAAAAACAAAACAAAACAAAAAACTAAACAAAAAAAAAAGCAAAAAAAACAAAAACAAAACAAAAACACACAAAAAAAGGAAAAATTTCTTAATAACTCATTTTCTTTAAACGTAAATATATATGTGAGGGGCCACGGTAATTGGCACATGCTGTAGTGGATTCCCAGCCATTATATATGTATATATTATATAGAACGTGCTTGTGTGTGTTTGTGTATGCGTGCGTGTTTAGAGTGAAGTCACTAAACTCGTGAAATAGATATTAGACTAATACACTTTAGTAGCCCCTAATTCCATTGTTTTCTTTTGTTTCTATTTGGCTATTACACGTTGACTAATAATTTTTATTTCACAAGTTAAATGCCTTCACTCTAAGGCCCCGTCCACACGTATCCGGAAATTTGTGTATCCGCAAAATTTTTTTTGCGGATACGGGTTGCGTCCATACGTGTCCGGAAATTTTTGTATCCGTATCCGGAAATTTTCGAAAACGGTCTCCAGAGTGGAAATTTTCGAATACGCTCCGAATACGGATACGTGTGGACGATCGTATCCGCAAATTTTCGAATACGATGACGTAAACGCAATTTTGCGCATGCTCAATAAGAAACAGTATCCGTCAAAGGGACTAGGCACTAGCGTGTATCAGGGCGGATCAAGAAATTTCCAGATACGTGTGGACAGTGAAAACGATTCGAAAACGATTCGAATACATTGCGTGTGAACGCGAACATTTTCGTATCCGCAAAAAAAAATTTGCAGATACAAAAATTTCCGGATACGTGTGGACGGGGCTTAAATGGCAAATCTAAAGGGTATGGCTTTTCGGCTTTTGGGTCTGGGGTAGGGTATAATTTTTTGACAATTGGTCTGGGATAGGGTATCATTTTTGTCTGAGATGGGGTTAACGATTTGGTCATTTTTGTCTGGCGAATAGGCTATGTTTTCTGCCGGCACAAAAACAATAAAAACGTTAGTAAATATTGATTGTAATCTATTGAATAACCGTCTTTTCTGTCTTTTAGTCTGGAATAGGGTGTACAATTCTTAGTTTTAGTCTGGGGTAGGGTATGTAAAATCAAAATTTTAGGTCTGGGATAGGGTCAGGGTTTTGAGGTCCTGGCGGCACACCTCAACACCCCCCCCCCCCCGGGAGTTACCACTATAGATATGTTGCGGTTGCATTGGAACCCGGGTTCCTACTCAAAGCTCCCTTAACGTGGATCTGTTTTGTCTCGCCCAGGTCACATTGCTGATTGCTTTTTCTTGCATCACGGATTGCTGCGATGGAGGGAAACCTTACGCTCTTTCCTTCTTGTACACCAACTTCGGACGAGGACAAGGGACAGTATTAGACTATTCTGATCATATTAGGAATACATCTTTCTTCCTGGCCGTCACCATTTTTGGCTGGCTGCTTGTCGTCTTCTTGTTTGTCTTTTTCTTTTTCAAACTTCACGAGAGGTTCAAACAAATCAAGTGGGAAATGGTGGTAAGGAATTAAATGTTTGCCCCATGCATCGGGCTATTTCAGGCAGCTAGTACCTTMAATCTGTTCTACAGCTATTTCAAAAAAGGTTGGCGAAGGATTTCTTTCATGTTGCATACCAAGCACATACCAAGCCTGAAATGCACTATGGATGAAAACACGCGAACTACGGTAGTTAGCGAAAGAACAGAAGATTTACGGGTCATTTAGAATGTTTTGTCACGCAGTTTACTTGTGCTATATAACTTTACTTTTAAGAACAACCTTTTGCTTTAGAAAGAGAGGAAAAAGACCGAAAAGAGCAAAAAGACCGAAAAGAGCAAATATTGCAAATGTATGGGCAATTGTTTCCAATGTGACAAAAAATTCAAGACACCCCCTCCCCCCCCCCTTGAAGTTCCCCAAAAAACAACTATGCCCCCGGGCAATCTCTCTTAGCTTCTTCTAACAATTTTGCATCCCCCCAATTCTCTGAAAAAAAATTTCAAACCCCCCATTTTACTGGTAAAAATGTTTCCGATCCCCTCTAAATTTCACCTGCCCCCCTCTGCCATACATTATGAACGTAGCCTAAGTGTAGCTATTGGTTATTATTTCTTTCTTTGACAGGTAATGATCATCAGTATTGTGTGGTCTGTGTTGCTCTTACTGAGCTGTTCACTCATGGGGAACATCTCCAGCACAGTCTTTCCCTTACGACCCACGGAATCTTCAAGCGATGACGGTGATACTCCAGGTGGAGTTAACTTTTTGAAAAAATACGTGGATACATTGGTCGCTGGCGTGGTAAGTATTACGTCATGTTTCACGATATAAAAATAACTACTATGTTACACGTGCTGTAATAGGTTCACTACACTTTTAAAAATATTTGAAATTCGAGCGCTGATTGGCTGGCTACCGTGTTTAAATGGGAGCACAGGGACACTCTGAGAGCTGTAGAGCACTCAAAAAGCAAAAGAAACAGTCGGCTACGCCTCGTGTTCCTAAGCTTGCTTCTCTCGTGCTCTACAGCGTGTTTATATTACAGTACAGAGACATGCGCGCCCGTTTTATATTCCTTAGATAATACACTAGTCTTACGGTCTTTCTCAATACCTCGCGTAGCCTCCTTTGCAGCCGTTCTTAGGGTAGTCACGCAACGTTGCGTGACGACCCTATAAGAACGCCTAAAAGGAGGCTATACCTCGCTCGGAATCGTACAACTTGCGGTCGCGAGAAAATAGGATTTTAATGGACGTCAATCAAAGTGTTTCCATTATACAAAGTTTTCAAGGGCACGTGCCTACGGAATATCATGTAAACGCGTTAAATTACGTCCGCCAAAGTCTACTTCGGCGTGACGATGATTGCGTGCGCGCGTGCTGTTGAGGACGACTATTGCTGTATGCGCAACACTAAACTAACACCAAAACTCTACACACACCACACCACACCACACCACACCACACCACACCACACCACACCACACCACACCACACCACACCACACCACAC